CTTCTAACTGCATACTTCTGTGAACGCACAAGACGATCGGCTACTTATTGCATACTTTAGTGAACGCACGTGATGGTCGACTTCTTATTGAATACTTCAGTGAACGCACGCGATGGTCGGCTTTATAATGCATACTTCAGTGAACGCACATGATGACTGGCTTCTTAATACATACTATCGATAAATAGCAAGTGTCAAAAAATGTTGATTGTTCTATATTATCCAAAAGATGTGATGTTTGGAGAAACAAATTAACTGTTTAACAGCGCACATATGTTCACACTAATGCTTGTTTATATGTTCCATTTAATAAGATTATCAACAACGGGTTATCACATATTAGCAAAAGTTTGCTTAAATAATTAAATATTAAACTCAAAACGAAACAATTAAAACTTCTTTTAAAATTTCTAAGCATATTAGGAACACTTATTTGCAACTTTGCCATATCCAAACTAATTATATAAATAAACAATGACCAAATAAAAGATTAAATACACCTTTTTCGTTTTGTTTGAATTTGTTATCATTTATTTCCACATTTTGCTTATATGTAATATTTTAACATATGTACCCTTAATAAAGATCGCAATCGCTTCTACGAGTACATAGAGCACCTCTATTCTTTCGTCTATAAAATATATAAACGAACGACAGTTCTCTCTTATAACTTCATTTCTCAAAAGCATGCATCTAGGCGGCGTGCATATATGCTAATATGCTAATATGCAATACTCTTATATTTTATCTGCGGTTTCTATCTATCGTTTTCTTTTAATAAATATTTTCCCTAAATAGTTTGCAATGTATGAATTTTGTATTTCAGTAAAGATTTTTCACCAGCAAGGAAAACATGTTCAATAAATTCGTTTTAGCATAAGTCTGCATTAAATGTTGTAAAATTCAAATGAAAATTCAACTTAAAACCGACATGAATTTAATTACTTTAAAGACATTCTGGTGACTGTATGATATTTACATATTTTCGTTTTCAAGCGCAATTAGGCAACAATTACATTGGGGAAAAAGCGTCCAATATATAATTGTTTGACCTTTATTCTGATTTGGTTTAAAAATGCAATATCATTTAATATTCTCCTATACATTGTGCTTCTTTGATAAATAACACAATTTACCTAATATATTAAAACCTCGTGTGTTTAGAGCAAAAGTCAAAATGAAAATAACGAGGATTATATAAAAGCATTTAATTATTATGAAAACCAGACTTTAATTTTTCCTTAATCTAATTACTCAACTTATATATTTAAAGGATATCTATTTCAAAAAATATATATCATTACTTATCCATCTAAGCTTTAATCTTATTTGTTAAATAGAAAATGTAAGACTTGAAATGATTTTGGTCTGAGCGGTATTGTTTCGTATTTCAACACTAATGTGGAGTTTTATAGCGTAGGAATTGATAGCGTTGGTCGCAAAGTAAACCTTTTACTACTTAGCTGGTGGCGACATATTTCTGACTCGACAGTTGGTAAGTTCTGAGAATTAAAGAGCTGTACGAAATGCAAGAAATAAAAACACAAATATATATTCTGCCTCGCCAACAATTTTTTTTGAAAAGTAAATGCTTTTAGATGAAATATATGCTAAAACGTCAATCTCATAAATAGGAACGTTTGTAAAGCTACTTTTTATTTCCAGAAAAGCTAAATGGAAATCAATAAAATCTGTCATACAGGTTTTACCTAAACACAGCACTTATTGTTTTATAGTACAAATTGACGTTTTTAAGGCAAGTAAGAATAAGAGAAATAACAATAGCATGCAAACATTAAATAATACTAATTTTTGAATTATTACCTTTAATTGATTTCATTAGAGTAAATTACAATTCATTTTAGACAAACAGCAATAATCATGACTCAAAAATGATTTGTTATAATACTTGATGAGATAATTTGTATGATACCTTATATGTGTTTATTACAACATATAAAAACAACAAATTATTATATCTTTCAGAGGAAATATTGTAATTGATAATACATACAAATACGTATATTGTTAGAAAGAACCCAGTTTTATAAGAAGACAATTATGTATCTGGTCATAAACAAAGCTAACACAAAAACCATTCACACAACATTATTTCAAAGAGTTACAGACGATGAGAATAAATAAAGACATTGAAAAGGATCAAATTCTGACTAAACAAGTTTGCTGGTATACATATATTACTCATTCTTGGCAGAGTTATATGGACCTGTGGTATCAAATTTCTCTTAAAATCATAAATATTTTCATTCTCTAATATTGTTTTTTTTGTTTTTGTTTTTTTTTTTCTATCTGGAAACAGTAAATTTATAATTATCTACTACACAAACTTTTCTATCTCCAACGTTTCGAGGGGTTAAACCCCTCTTTATCAAGGAGTTACTGTTTATTTTTATATAAATCACATATTTATCTTCTTACATGTCTTATCTTTAACTATGTTATGCATACAGGAAATGACGTCGTTGACGTCAACAATAAAAATTACGCAAAATATGATGATGACGTTTTCCGTCAAAATTGTTCCACTGCATAACGTTGCTCCCCTTATTTAATATTATTTATAATATTAACATAGCAAGAATTATGAAACTTATTTCATTGAAAATACATTAAAAATAATAATAATAATTATTATTATTAATTTTTTTTTCTACTAAAACATTCCAATAATATTTACAATAGCAAATAATTTAATAATAATAAAAATAATGATAGTATTATTTTTATTATTATTAAATTATTTGCTATTGTAAATATTATTGGAATGTTTTAGTAGAAAAAATTATCAATATTATTATTTTTAATGTATTTTCAATGAAATAAGTTTCATAATTCTTGCTATTCACAGTGGTAGTACATTTTTCATGCTGAAATATTACATCCAAATCGCTCATCTATTACTTACGAAATATTCCTATCTGAAAGGGGCATTTAATCACTTCATTTATTCATGTACATCAACATATTTTTGAACTAAATATAGTAATTTCAACCGATGTACTGCAATCTGTTATCATGTGGTCATTTAATATGTTAAAATATTCTGGTATTTTCTGGCTATATAATATTCATATCAATTTAATATCATCAAAGTATCAAAATGTCAATTAGATATGCCCAGCCTTAGGGAGATATCAAATTATGTTGTATTGTTGTGATAACTCTTCATGCATTTACGTTGTATTAGTTATCTATGCATTTACAATTCCCAGTGCATTATATAAAAAGGATTATGTTCGAAGCGTAAATGATAAAAATGAAACAAAGATCAATAAACACACCCCTAACAAAAGTTAAACACCACCCACAAGGCCATCGAAAAGGAGTCAAGCAGGGCACCAAACATTTATATTTTTTTTACAACATTAAATCATTTATATGGATCTGGACTAAAATGAATCTTACAAATCTGCAAACATTTCTTGTATCATATGGATTTTTCTTGTATTCACTTTAAATTGTATAAAATGTGACATTTTTACAATTTAAAAAGTCTTTCTATTTGAAATACACCGCAAAAGTTTATTTTGTATCGTATATACACATACAATATTGTGGAAAAAAAATCATACAATGTTGTGGCAAAAATCATACAATATTGTGACAAAACATTAATAAAATTCAGCACATTAGTCTTCCATTGAGTCTTCCCTAAAGACATTTTTTCGTATTTTAATTTTTAGCACAAAAATGACTGTTATTTTTTTCTCTAATGTTCTACTATATTTTACCCAATGTTTATTATTGCTTTATCTTGTAGAAAGAGTAGGCAAATATGCCAAAACAAAGATAATGGATATCGTATTATTAACGAGAAAACCTACATTTTAATTTATAATTTTGAAGAGGGAAAATAACGTCTCCATCAGATATTAAATTTTGTAAAGCATAATCTATTAAAAAATTCTACTTATTCAGTGTTAATAATTAAACACGGCTATGTTAAGTTATATGTACGGTTCGTGACCAGACTATGTATCTATTTAGTCTGCTATAAAGTACAAATATCATATTTTCTTGATGCTAAGGTTAACTCACTGCCACTATCGAAAGAAGGCTTAATATTTTTTCAGTTTCCGCTCATTCACAGCGTCGTTATATTGCAAATTTAGAACATTATGTCACAAAAAACGCGTGAAAACAAATATTTAAAAGAAACACCCGAAGGGTCAAAATGAATTTACATTTCGAAATATTATTATTATTTCCATTTTACTTCAAATATTATCTTATATTACTATCATAATTTAATGATAAAACGAGATCCTTTGCGAAAAAATCGGATTTTTAGAAAGTTTTTTTTTTAATAAATCGTATGTAAAGTTACGACCAAACACAATATTGTAGTTTCTTGTATTAAATAGTACCGTACAAGTGATATGTCTTCATAGTATTTAAATACCATGGTACGTTGCGATCTGCGAGCTGCATACATTTTTCATGAATGCATACTTTTGTCTTTTGAAATATGTTTTCTGTTTCGACATTTTATTTTAAGCTGTTAAAATAGTGTATAACACTAAGTCTTTTATTCTATGAGGGGTTTAAACTAAATTTAACTAATTATCTCCTACAATTTCATAACTGCTGCTCTACTCTTTGTACCAATGGTATACAGTTTTTCTTTAGCTGAAGGTCAAAACCATGGCCAGAAATGTAGGACAAATTCGATTTAAATACAGTTCGGCAGAAAATGCAGCATGTATTATGTTTTAAATTCTAAGCGTGTATGTTCAACTTTTATTTATTTCGAGCAGATTATGCATTAGAATAATTTAATTTTGGGGCTTAGTAGCATGTGTTTAATACTTTTATATTACATGGATTGAACAGAAAAGGAATAAAACAATGAAGGTTGTAAGCGTTTTAAAGTAAATAATGTCTTATAAAGTAAAATAAACATCCTGGTTCTCCGATATATATTGTAATCGTTGAAAAAATAAAGGAAATAACAGTATCTGAAAGAAATTCATCTTTTAATTCTGTAATATAGTAACATAAATAACATCTTCGTTATATACATAGTAATGTAAGTAAATGAGTAAAAGAACAATAAAGAATGCGATTACAATGTTTATTGCATCTTACTAAAATGAAAATAATTAAAGTAAAAAACAAGGACTGTCAATGAACCCAAACATTCTGATAAACTTGACCAATAAAATGTCAATACATCATGTCATTGTATCATCGATTAATTAATCTTTATATTCTAGTTACTAAACATTTTTAAACGAGTTTGATCACGTACTTAGTTTACTTAAGTAAACTAAAATAAAGTTGACTTACGTTATGGTTCAAAACAATTTATCTATTTATCAGTAAATAAATGATTTTTACTTTTCTTTATAAAGACACTGTTTTTAAAAGATCGTGTTTTAATCAGAACTTTGCATAGCGTCAACATAATGATTATAATAATATTGTTAATTTATTCAATACTTTATAAAAAATATGTATAAGTAAATTTTCGAAATATTTTAACATAATATAAAAGATAAATATATGGGTTTCATTAATTTATTTAATCATTAAAGGAACTGCACTTAGGTCTGAAAGCCTAAAAATATAATATTTGAATTTCTTACAAAGATCAACTGGGTCACTTACAATTGAAGTATATGAACAAGAAATTATGATATAAATTAAGAAATATACTTAGATATAAATTGAAAAATCGTATTTTTGTGCTATTTTAGCCCGATTTCAGAAAAAGCGTTGCATGAAATGAATGACCTGAAATTTGACAAACAAGTTATTGGTCTAGACTACATCAAATTGAGCATTTACCTCGAAAAAATGTTTCCAGTCACGTCAATTAAATAAAAACTTAATGGAATCCCCTTTAAATCAAATAATTTAACAATTGAATATCCTACTGAGTAAAGTAATTTAGTTATATATTTTCATGACAATAAAACCAGCTTTAGAAAAGTTGCATCAATAATAAGATATAAACGGTCTTATCCGTGTCTTCCGAATATGTTGTCTCCGGGAGAAAAAGTCTTTGAGCAAAAATATCAGGATTATAGCACCGACAGCTAAAATAGCTGACACCAAGCTGGCAATAATAGCAACGGGATTTTTACCATCACCCACTTGTCCAATATTGTTATTCACGTTATATTTATACGTATACTTTGGATCTTCCTGCGTTTTAGAATTGTCGATAAGAATATCTTTCCTGCCTTCTTTTGAGTGGAAAATGTCAACCACAGCTTTAAATGTTTTGCTTGATTCACTCTTATTTGTTATTACATTGTCCTGTCTATCTCTTTCAGGTAGGCCACTAGCAGTTTGTGTTACTTGTGTATCCTGATAAGAGGTATGTGAATTACCTGTGCCGGGAGCTGTAGAAATTTCTAAAGACGTTGCATCAATATCGTCTTCTAAGGGCAGAAATGAGGCACTTTTTACTATCGTTGTCTGTTCTATCAAACTAAAGGGTGGCGTAGTTTGTTCAGCTTTGTCAACAGAATAATTATTTGGCAAATTTGTTGAGGACATATTACTTGAAAATGGTTCAATATTTGCGATAATGCCAGTACGTTTATTTGATAATGTAGAAGAAATTGTTGTTCCAAGTCTATTTGTTGTATTTTGACTAAAGTTATCATTAGAGTAAGTATCTTCCTTTTTTGACAAATAATGTAGCAAACAAGTATCGACTGTGCTGTTTGATGATATTTTATATAAACCTACTGAAGAATGTACGAGAGATATCAACTTAAGAGAGGCATATCTTATGTCAAAATGGACTTCACTTACGGAAGAAATATTTCCATTTAAAGACGTCACTTTAAAGTCTGTATCACTTGGAATAAGCATAAATAAATTAGAATCATTTGACATATAAATCCACCTGTATAGTGCATGTTTCTTTCCAATATCTAATATGTTACTATGATTGTTATCACTGTTATTATAAAACATGCTACCATTATTTACAGGTAATAGTTCATCATTACATGTTGAGTGATCCAATTTAACACAATCCAATGAAAAACCATGTTCCATTGTGACAGTCAATATTGCATCAGGTGAAATAGTAAAACTGGCATTGATTGGTTCATTTGCAGTCACATTTATTGTTTTCAATTCAGCATCAGTTTGAAAATCTACCCGGCCGTCAACAGAACCTAAAATGATAAAAGTTCCAAACGTAGTGAAATAATTCGGTGAATGCCTGTTTGACAATATAAAACAGATGACAAAAATCAATATGAAAAACGCAAGTACTTTTTAACTTTTCTAAGCAATCTTAAAATACAATAACAAAGCATTGGTATTTTAGATCCGTTGATAATTTTATGTAAAAATATTTTTAGGAACGAATATTTCATTTGCATTTAGCTTAGTATGTTTGTTCAATTTTTGCTTTTTAATATGCCGCAATGCTTCTTATGATTAAATGATCTATATCTTACTGATTTTATTTCATAATTATGAACATTGTGAGTTTGTATAATCCACTGCATAACCATGATTTAAATATCCACGCAGTACAAAATAGTAATGGTTAAAAATGCATTATAGTGCCTTATTTAGCAGAATTATAGAATTATACTTACACGCTACGTAAAAGGTATAGTGACGTGTTTGTATACTTGGAATAACAACATAGGTTGAACTCTTGTTTGATAACGCTGGAATAACATTCCAACTAATTTGTGAGTGTTGTAAATTTACGGTGTTGTTTTCGTGTTTATTTCTGCCTGGCAGTTGTTTATCATGTCCAAGTAGAATGATAATAGGATATATAGATGTGATTACTACTCCCATGAACCCTGATAAATTATTTATTCCGTAGAATTCTGATGTAACATTTAAAAGGTATCTACCAATGGCTGATGTTGTCAGATTTGAGCATTTGTCTGTATTATTCCTTTCTTCTAAATTTGGTTCAAAGTTATCAGACGTTTCATTGTTTTTGTTGTCCGTGATAACACATAATCTGATCAAAGTATCTGGAACTTCGGATTGAACAACAAGTGGTTTATCAAATATTTTTTTGCTATTTTCTGGTAAAGTAAATATGTAATGTAAGAGTCCAGTGTCGGCAAGTTGTGGCAGTTGAAGTAGACCACCAGGTAGGTCTATAAGTACAGTTGTCTTGCATGAGGTGATTAATTGCAATCCTGTTAAAATAGAAGAGTGATTGACCATTAAATATTGTATTTATTTTACTCATACATTAATGTTAAAATTTACAACAACGTGCATTTATCATGTTAATACATGTATTTAATGTTTACTTTGAGCTTATCTTTCAGAAAAAATAGAATTTAATATAAGAAATTATCCATCGTTGTAAAATAAAATATGTACTAACCAACATAATTTCAGATTTATTAAAACACACTTAATATAATGAATTATTTATTTAATATATCATGAACTTAATGAAATCTAAAAATTGAGATGAACTTTTATGTCAGTAGAACCTCAGAAGCCTTTGTTAGTTCCGAATAGAATATGAAAATAGCTTGACAAAACACTGTAAACGTATTTCTTCTCATTTACAATATTTTTACATATCTAACCTGATTCTACGGATACATTCTGAAGACCCAAAACATGTCCCAGACGAAAATCATGTTCAACTGTCAGATTCCACGTAGTAAGTTCTGTTGATTTATTCAGATTTTTTATTGTTATCTCAACAATGTCAGTGTTTTCGGGCAAAATAATGACGTCATTTAATGTGTAATGCGTTTCCGGTAGAACTGGAAGAATGTATCTATTCTGTCTTGATTGCACTGAAAAAGGATAATGTAGTTTATAAGTTACTAAATCAAGAAAACATTTGGTATTTCATGTAAACTGCATTATTATATATAGTTTCCCATTTTGCTTTAAAGTGAGTGAAATATTAAAATGTCGTCATTATTGTTTTGTCATTTGTTTGAATGTTTTACATAGAATATATTGTTTGCATCCTTATTTTAAAATGAGAAATACATGAAGAAGATATTAACCAAAAATCTTCCTAATAATTTAATGCATGAATTATAAACAATTAAAGAAGCCTATGTAATAAAATAAAATTCAATCTGATTATTCAGATACAATTTAACAATTAAATTATCTTGATATGTTTAAATTTCTAAGTCCTATTTTGTCAAGCAATAATCAACTAAAGTTGCATATGTTTCATTACATAATTTACTAGAATTTGCAATCTTAACAATTGTTCAAGGTCTAAATTACCAACAGGAAAAGGTGAATTACTTACTGATTTATTCATTATTTCTTAATTTTGCTATAAAAAACCCGTTGTATTCCTTAAATAAAATAAGTATCATTCATACGCGAATATGAACAGAATATATGAGGGAGAATATTACCTTGGGTTATTAAAACGACGACAAAAATTGTTTTTGTTAAGAACAAACCTGAAATAAAAAGTATTGTAAATTGTAAATTTCATATAAACCACCTGAGCTTTTATTTTTCAAATTGCCTTTAGGTAATTTTTTTCCGTTGCCATGCGACACTTTTCTGACAATAAAATAATAAAGACGGGAAATTAATATTTCATGTATCATAGACATATATTATATACTGTAGCCAAGTCGAAACAATATTAGTTATGACAGATAGATAAATAAAGTTCCATCAATTACTTTTCATTTCGAGATAAAATTTTGGACACAAAAAAAGTCTAGACATTTTTTGTAGATAAAGACAAAAAATTTCTTGACACGTTATTGATATGAATCGATAAAAGTAATTTATTCAAAATACAAAACAAGTATATCTTTTTCTCTTACAGTCACTTTATTTACACGAAAAAACATAGATGAAAAAATATACTTACATTTATAACTGGATGAATTAAATTTGGTATACATCTTTAAAACGTTGGATCCATCTTTTATTTCGTATCATACCTCCAAAGGGATTGAATCAATTTCTTAACTCCGAGCAATTTACTTCTATAGCTGTTGCTCCGTAGAAAAAAGTCCTGGAAAAATTTAAATGTTTTGTTTTACAAAGTTAACGAGCATGCTAATATATTTTTCTATCTATAATACAGCTACTTTATACGTGGTCAAAAGTATAGTTCCATTCCTTATGTCAATGAAAGTATGATTGAGTATCCATAACGTCTGTTTGTCGGCATCTTATCAGGTTAACTTCTAAGTTTTTTGGCTTCACGAAGTCTGCGGTCTGTAACAAAACGGTAAACTGATAGTCGCATCGCGGAATAACAAAATATATTATTCTTTCTTTCCAATATCGGATGATACAAAGCAAGCAGTCATAAGAATAAGGAATAACAAGTATTTTGAACTTTCCCGATATTAAAGCATCATTTGTACTCTTGAGCATCGTAAGTAACAAAACAAAAATAACAAAGAAAGAAAAAAATAATGCATAAAATAACATATTTAAAGAATAGATTTATGTCACTTAAGAATCATTTAAACATGAAAACAAAATCTAAAGAGAAATCACTATTATGTTATTTGGCTATTGAAGTCTATAAAGAAATAGAAATTTTGATTCACATTTTTTTTATATATTTCGTAATGTTTATGACATAAAATCACATGTTTGGCAACTACACTAGTTCGTCATTAAAACCTTTTTTATTTACAGTGCAAACAACTGTCGTGAAACTAAGATTTAAAATAATTTGTTGTTTTAGTTTTGTAAAGTAGTTATACCAATATAAGAGGATAAGAAAACATAAACGGGGAAACATAATAAATTACTTTTAGATCACAAATATTGCCAGTGAATTTCCTTTTCTTTCCTTATTTGTATGAATTAGAAACGATTGTGATATCAAATATGTCATTATTATATCAGGAAAGCATATCTCATCCAAATTTAAAATTTTCTTGATTTGATCATTAATACGGAAGCGTATCAGGGCCTACAGTTGGTGAGATGTTTTGCGCTAAGTCGACTTATTTTTATTCGCATTGATAAGATGTTTTTGCATTTCTCAATAAAATTTACTGACAAAGATGAGAAGCTTTTAGGCATTGCAACTAAATTTTTCTCGATATTCTTGAAGCTTTTGTCTCTGCGACAAAAATCCTGTCGAAACTTTTTGATTTCACGACTTTGCTGAAATATTTAGTAAGACGCAAAGACGTTACTCGCATTGACAAATAGCTCATGTAATTCAACAAAGTCTTTTGCGATGATTAAAAACTTCTACATATTACGTATTAATCATAATGTCTTAATGGAATGTTTTATGTATTACGTATTAATTATAACGTCTTCATGGAATGTTTTTGGTCAAAACGAGAAGAGACAAGTTGACATGACGTGAAACGTTTAGATAAGTGGAGGCCCTGATAAGCTTCCGTACATTAATTGTCAAACTATATTTTTTCCTGATTGTATAAGTTATTAAAAGTCACGATAAATGATGTTACAGTAGAAACTCCATGTATTTCTAATTTACAGTTTTTTCTTATTACAACAATTAATTAAATTAAGTTTAGGAAAAACTTTTGGTTTCATATTCAATTTATTTTGCATGAAAAGAATAAATCAATATAGATGTAAAGTCTTATTAAACAAAATATTCTTATAAAAGAGATGAATATATCCCTCATATCAGTCTTTTAGATCTCTCATTTCCTTTATAACAAAACATTTAACATTTATCTAAACAAACATTTGTTACAAATAACACTTAATGAACTATCTTTATGTGTAATTGTTATAAAATATCATAAGATATGTTGCTACTTACATAGTATATCTAATTTGTGTTTAATTTTAAAAGCACTTTTAAATTAGCCCTTCTTAGTCAATTAAGTCACATATCATCCAGTCATATAATCATAGAATCTCAGTTTTTGTTCTTGTTGAGTTGCCGTATTTTAATAACCTTAATGTTTTCACATTACCATCCAATAAGTTGATAAGTACATATTTGATTATCATTGAAATATCAGATTTTTACACACTCAAAAAGTAAACTATAATCCTTTCTTTATTTAAAACGTACAGCTTACAGTCAATTGTGTTTTCCTATAATATCTAATAACTATGATCTGTTTGTTTGTCTTTATCAAGTTCGCTTTTAGGAGTCCATTTATCGACTTTAGTCTGTCTACTGAATAGGAAATAGTAGTGTCAATGTGGAGATACAAGTGATAGTGTTTCATTCATTATTCGTCAAAATCCAATAATATAAAGTTGTTACAGTAGTGTTGCCGTTTTTATTCCGATGCTGAAAACATAATGTTCTTAACTCCTGCTTATCCTTTCTCGTTTTATTATTAAAATGTAGGCCGCATTAGAATTTTGGATAAAAATATTCAATTAAAGTCTGTGCTTTTGAGGGGGATATTCATCGTCAATTATCAATTTATTCATTGCCGTTTCATATCATGATCCTACTGCAATCATATGTTAGGGATACATGATAGATGATGATAAGATTTTGTATTTTAAATATTAAGTTATCTTATTTTGAAATAAATTTTGCAAATTTGCATTTTATTTTTAAATTTAATGAATTTTATTTTCTATTTATTTATTTTCTCTTTATTTTAAGTGCATATAACTTTGATCTTCTCTTATATTTCTTACATCTAAATTCGTTCTTCGTCTTTTCTTGCTTTTGGTTATGCTAAAATCTGAAAAAAATGCTAATAATGTTTTCTATCTGGAAGCTAATCGCACATATTTGTACAACGACCTTGTATTAGTTAATATGTTTTTAAATCAAATCAGGCGATTAAAGGGACTCCATTGAGGTTTTTTGACATGATGGGACTGGAAATATTTTTTCCAGATAAATGTACCATTTGATGAAGGTTTAGACCACTAATCTTTGTGCAAAATTTCAGATCATTCGCGCATTTCGTTTTTCCAGAATAATCATTCAACTTGTAAAAATGACCCAAAATGAAAAGCGTTTAAACACTTAAATCGGGCTAAGAAAAGCATAAAAATACGATTTTCAATTTATTTAAAAGTATATTTCTTAACTATCTTTGCATATATTTCTGTTTAAAGTGCCCCAGCTCATATATGTAAGAATTCAAATGTTATGTTTTTAGGCTTTTAAACCTTAGTGGAGTCTCTTGAATATACATTGGGGATAAAAAAAGCTAGCCAGCCAATCTACGAGCTTAATTTTAAATTTAATTAAATGTTAATAAACCATGTGTTGTATAGCCAGTTGAAACAAAATGGCATCGATAAAGCTTTAAAAGATCATTTAAATATCATCTGGCTTCTTTATATAATCTTATTTACTTCATCTTGTTACGCATTTTTGTTACACGATAACAATCTAGATATGTTCCTACTACGTTTACAGCTAATTAACCAAACGTATAAAAACCTTGCTTAAATTTCGTATAAATCCAGTCCTTTGTAAGTATGTTTTGGTGGAGTGTATTCCACTATTTATTCAACCGCTAAATCTAACATGCATTTCAGCTCATTTATTCTGAAGCACGCGTAATTTGTCGTCTGGTTAATTTTAACATTTGTTTTATTATTTTCCGCTTTAATAATATTATTCTGCAGTTTTGTTCAAAACAGTAGATATTGGACGCCAATTTATGGCAATCTCAAAGGCAAATTTAATAAAATGCTATGAAACAAGCATAATCAGTGGTTCTAGGAGCTTTATTAAATTATCATTCACGAAAAAAGAATACTTTCATCGATAGGTCTGATTATGTATGCAATACAGGTTGACACAAAACAAGACTACTGGTTGACTGTTGACAAGGTGAAGTTGTAGACAACAACAGCACGGAAAGTAGTTTCTACCAAGAATGCAGCAGCTCTAATAATAATATGTCTAATATCATTTATCAATTGCCTTGTTTAACTGAAAATAACATTTTAGATTTCAAAAGAAAACGAAACAAACAAATAAAACAGTAGTTATTAATAACAATAATTTAATGTACTGAATTTATACCTTTATATAAGAAGTAGTCATTAATATATTGATTTGGATTTAAAAAAGAATTATGTGCAGAGAGATATTGTTATACAGTATGTATTTAAGTTTCCGGGTTGTCATTAAGATTAATAACTAATTACTAGCTCTGAAACTAACGTTGTACCGTTGTTGTACAGGCACTGATTATATATCATTTGATACGACAAAAAATTGGCTATATCTTTTTCAGATGAAAATAATTACACATAAACGAACACATGCTATTTACTGATAAATATTTGATGAAAGTATGTTGTTTTAGTTCATAGGGGAGTCGGTTGACGTTTAAAATGGCTACATTTGCATAAAACAATGTCAGGCCTACCCAGTGCAATACATTTACTCCTGCGTTGTATTTGTTTATAAATATCTTCCTAAATTGTTCAGTTGTTTTTGCGACATTAAGAAGTTAGATATCCATTGTATCAAATTTATGCTTAAAACTCTCCAGACCATGAAAGTGTGATAAAATAATTTTACAGATCGTATGCGATGAAAAGAAGATAATATAAAGTTAAACTTAATGCGAACTATGGAAAAGCAAATTTTACGCTTCTTCATAGTTTAATACTGTAAAAGTATTAGTTTAATACTGTAAAAGTATTTATGAAAATTCAGACACACACCGGCATCATACCAAAGATCATAGTATTTCATTTTAAGATATTGTTATACATTCTTGTTTATGTGTGATATACTTAAAATAATAAGGAAACATTCAATTTTTGTTTTTCATTGATATTGCCGTCTTTACATTTGGCCAAGATGAAAATTCTTTAGAATGTTTTTATTGTTTTGTAAATATAATATTGCCGTTTATATGATAGGTTCTTGGGAATAAAGTATCATATTTTGATAAACGTGCCTATATATAATGCATTAAGGTATTAAAAAAAATATCAATTATACAACATATTGCATTTGGAAATATAATCAAGAATTATTCCTAGGTGTATATACTAGTTTCCCGACTGCTAACTAATTGAATTGACATTTTAGTGCATTTATGATATATGATATAAAAGAATAATATATCAAATACTAAATGGTGGGATGCTTTAAAGCTAAATGATGTTATTAGATTTGTCGCATTTATTATGTTTGTTTGTTTGTTTGAAGTCTATATGTGGTATGCATCTCCCTTAAATGTTTAGTGGTTAATTTGATAAATGTCATACAATATACCATCTAAATGTTAAAAGGCCCATGGTGGCTGTGTATTAGAAATGATAAAATTCATTTTATAATGTTTATATAACTTTTAGCGTTATCTTGAATAATTAAATAAGTTGAAGATAGCATTTCAGTCTTTGATCTTAAATCATGTAAGCCATAACATTTTCAGAAAATGCTGAATTCCGTAAAATCATTTATTTCAATTCTTAAAATTCTGCAAACAAATTGACTCTATACTTTATTAGATATTTGTAAATTAGTGGACACTGTGCGATTAATTTTAAAATTCTTTAACTAGCAAATTAACACCACAGAACAGTAGTTATTCTATTTTCAGAATATATTTCATTCAATCTAAATTTTAATTTCTGTCACAGATAAAAATTCTAAAGATCTTTTTCTTTTGATAACATTGCACGTCAAACGTCACCCAAATTGCATTCATTTTGAACAATGTTTAGAAATTGAATGACAAAATAATCATGGCGACAGATTTTAATGTTAGATTCTTGTGGTATTTTCGCACTGTTTTATTTGTTTTCATTCATTTTACCTTATTACAAAATTAGCAAGGAAGTAAATGCAAGAAGGAATATGTTTTATTTTTAAAATTGTATAAACGATCTTACACAATATATCATAAATTATAAATTGATATTATTATTATTATCATTTTATCTTATCGGTGGTCTTTTATTAGATGAAGCAAATCTTAACATAAGAATTAAATGAATCAATAAAAAAGAATTAGATAAAGGCAAAATTAAAACAAACGCTACAATGTACCATTTCCTAAGTATAGTTTAACAAATTATTCTGCAATAACATGATACATGCCGTTTATTTAAGAGTTCAACTAAGGTTCAAATACACTTAATGTTCTTAGTGCTAGGACAATTTATCCATTTACGAGAAGATTTACTGCCAATTATTGTCATGGACAAATGAGGATGTTCTTTTGTACAAGATAAGCATTAATTTATTACCTATACGTATGTTGACTTTACATATAAAAAGGTCTATTTTTTAAGTGTTTTGTAGGTATTTCTTACCTTTACGTTTGCAGAAAGTCTATGCTTTCAATGACTTCCATTTCTAGTGGTGATTTGCAAATTAACATAAAAAGAGTGTTTGTATTTTAATATCCATTTAAAGGATACAACAACAACCAAAATATTTATTTGTTAATTTGACTTTGCATTTTATGTCCCGTTATTTCGGCTTTAAAAACAATAATTTTAGAAATAGCTAATTCGTGAATCAATGACAAACTACTTCGTGTAAAGTTCAGGTTTCATTTCATATCCTATTTTATAAATATAACGTTAAGGCACTCTACACATGTTGACAACAAAACTATAGCTACACAAGTTGAGTAACCTGGTTTAGGAAGAATAAACGTTGTACTATGCACATTTTTGTCTCTTCAAAATATGTGACTTTTATTTTATGTGTATGAATGTAATATTCAATTCCAGACTTTCATTAAGATAGGTTTATTGTTTTTTGCTTGTACATTGCATTATCATTTTGTTTGCATTTTCAGAATGTGCTGGTGTTATGTGTCTTATATTTTATAACAAATCGACAGTCATATCAACTTTTTTGTATGCAGAATTGAACTGAGATATCCTGCTAGAACAAAAGACAATAATTTATTATATATATTTAGCTGACCGTTTTAAGACGCTTAATAATTATTTTGTCAAAAGTGATGAATGAAACTTATCAATTTGTCAATATCAGTTGTTTTTTCTGATTGTCAGAAAATGGATTATAAAGTAAGACAGTGAAACGTTTTTCTTTGTCTAAGCTATACCGAGAATGCTTTGTTAGTTAGTAAGATCAACAAGGTACAGCAGCATAAACAGAACGCAGCCTTTATAGTATTCTAAAGAGACGGCGCCCGAAAGGACATAACGGAAGGCAAGGGAAACAAACGGTGTGGAGGAGGTGCCAATTTGATTATCTTGCCGGAACCTTTTTATAATATTTGGAAACGAAATTCATTAGAATGTTTACTTATT